ACTTAACAACGCGCAGGGTGAGATCGCGTGCTCAGGACTACCATCTTACCCTTGGAACACAGCGCACCCTCATCCTGACTGACTGTATCGGGCCGAAAGGATAGCTTGTATACATTCGTGATTACGTTGTTTTGCGTTTGGGGAAAGACGGTAAAGAATGCTCAACGAAAAGGAAGACGACGAAGAAGAAGACGGCCACCAGCCTGAGGCCGATGATGCAAACTTGTCCTCCACCACAGCATGCGGACGTTGACAACACATGCAGCCTCTTCTCTATGTCTGCATGCAGACGTAGACAAGACATGCAGCTTCTTCTATACGTCTGCATGCAAACCTAGACACCACATGCAGCTTCTTCTATACGTCAGTATGCCGGCGTAGACAACAACACATGCAGCTTCTTGTCTCCGTCTCTGCACGCCGACGTAGACAACATATGCAGCTTCTCCTCTACGTCTGCATGCAGACGTAGACAATACATGCAGACGTAAAGAAGCTGTGTTACAACGACACACCATGCAGATGACCGGGTAAACGGAAAAAGACGAGTGACGACCACCACGGCGACAAGAAGACCAAGATTACGTAGTAACAGAGAGGATAAGATTTAGGATAGGAAAGGACACACAGGATATTTTTTTTAATCGAGGCCGCGCATCAATGATGTCCGCTCAAACAAACAAACAAACAAAAGAATGAAGAGGTTATGGTTCTGTAAGACAGGTTGTCGATAGCGGCCTCGTTCAAACTTGTGCTTGTTTTTTTTGTTGGAAGCAGGGTCATCACAACGATTCACAAGACTGAGTGGAATACGTCCCCATCGACTGCTCTCAGATACTGCGCACTCCTTCATTTGACCAGACTGACCTGATTTCGGTCTGCATGCGAGCATACCCCCCCGTTCATGTGACCAGATTTTGATCAGATTCACCAGATTGACCGAATTTGGACAAAGATTGACCACATCGACCAGATCTCGAAAATATCTTGACCAGATCTTGACCAGATTTCAACCAGATTTTGACCACATTTTGACCAGATTTCGACGAGATTCAGATCTCAACCAGATTTGGCCAGATTTCGACCAGTCTCGACCAGATCTCGACCAGATATTGACCGGACTGACCAGATGAGCCGTTGCTGCCTGCCCTTCCCTCCGGGATCCTCCCTGTCTCTTACCTTGTTTGATGTGGGGGGCGCCAAGTCGGCCATTGGCGATAAAAGAAACCCTTCTGATTAGGGGGGGAAAGAAAACAATCCGCATCCAGCTCGGCATATTTTCTCGATGAGTATTTTAAGGATAACATCACTGTACACATTGTGCACGTTGTTAAGAGAGAGAGAGAGAGAGAGAGAGAGAGAGAGAGATTGAACAGAGA